CAAACCGGTCAATGTACACGGGAAAAACTCCCAAATTGGCAAGAACATGAGAGGGAAGCAAAACTGCTCCCTAAGCACAGCAAAACCGAAAAGAACCAGACTACAAACTTAAGCAACTGCCTGCTCAAAGTCCCAGGACCACAAATACATCAACAAGAACCCAATCAAACAACCTACTACAGCAGTCCCCAAAAGAAACAAAAGAACACCAAGAAAACCTGCAAAATGAAAAGCTGACTCGAGACCTAATTCATCCAGCAAGCTCCTCTAATGTCCAGTAGTGTTGATCTGGTTGAACTCCAGCCAGTCCCCCTGGGCAGAGTTGATGATCCATGTTTCCTCTATCCATTTACCCTCAAACACCCACAAGTTCCTAGCTCTCCACAACCACCAAAGTATATATGTGGAAAGCTGTATTCTGTCCTCAGCCCAAACCTCAGAACCCATACCACTCACCCACCACCACCATTGTTTGAAAGAGAGACTGTCATTCTGGACTCTATTCGATGAAACTGGGGAGAGTTTCCAAACAGCCCTGGCCTTCTTGCAGAGAAACAAACAATGTTCCAATGTTTCATCCTCCTATCCATATACCCTACAAATGGTATCCACCTCCATCCCTCTAGCTACCAAGTTACAATTGACATGAATAAAAATTGAAAAGCATTGCCAGATAAAAATTTTCACCTTTCTCATAACTTTTAGTCTCCAGCATCTTGTCCTAGCTTTCCTACTTCTGAGAGCCATTGCACTAGATTCAGCCTCTGCAAATTGTCCTATCTTGACTGCTAACAGATTTGAGTAAGCTCTCTTCACTGAAAACTTGCCTTTGTGGACAACATCACATTTCCAATGGTCAGGTAAGCTGGGATTTAAAGACTTGATCAATAGGATTTTCTCAGCATCCTCTTCCTCATAGATAGCTCTAATTAGATTAGAGTCCCACTGCACACCATCTGCCAATATCAAGTCCTTCACCCTGAACAAGCTGCCATCCACATCCACCCTCAAGTTAGGTTTTCTCTTCCCCACTCCTGGGATCCAGTTAGCTTCATTGATACTGATGGTCTCTCCATTTCTGACAACCATGTTAACTTGATTCTACAAGTCAGGTAATAGAGAGGCCCAAGAATTCCATAGCCAAGAAGCCCCCCTGTGTTGTTCCACTAAAAAATGGAGCAGTTTTTGAAATACCTTCCTTTAAGCACTCTGCACATTAGCATGTCTGGCTTATCAAGAATCCTCCACAACTGTTTGAGAATCAATGCTTTGTTAAACAGCTTCAGGTCCATGAACCCCAATCCACCCTCCATTTTAGTTGCAGTCAATTTATCCCAAGAGCACCAGGGCAAATTCTTTATTTGGCCATCTCCTTTACTCCACCAGAAATTAGCTACAATCCTGCACACTTCCTTACACACCTTCACTGGAATAATGAAACAAGACATCACAAATACAGGTAAGGCACAGAGCAATGCTTTAACCAATGTTTCTTTACCAGTAGATGATAAAAAAGTATGTTTCCAGCTACAAATCCTATTCCTAACAGCTTCAATCACAAAATTAAATGTATCAATCTTAGAGGCTCCAATCCCCAGCGGTAAGCCCAGATATTTGGAAGATCTCTTGATACTCACCCCATGAAGAATATTAGATAAAGACACCTGCAGATTCCCAGTCCCATTTTTACTGATAAACAGAGAAGATTTATGGAGGTTGACCTTCTGCCCAGTGAACATTTTGTACTTATGGAGCATGTCCAAAAGTAACTCAGCATGCATCCCATTAGCTTTACAGAAAATCAAGGCATCATCAGCAAACAACAAATGAGAAAGCACTGGCCCTTCTTTAGAGAGCTTGACACCACAAAATTGACCAGAGATAACCTTTGACTTCAGGTAAGCAGAAAAAACTTCAGATACTAAAATAAAAAGATAGGGTGACAGCGGGTCACCCTGTCTTAAGCCTCTGTAAGCAGTCACATAGCCACAAACTCTCCCATTAAGATTAAAAGAAAAGGTAGGAGAGGATATGCAACTCATAACCCACCTCACAAATTTGCCATGAAATCCCATTTTACACATGATCTGCCTAATGCACTCCCATTCAATCCTATCGTATGCTTCTTCCATATCTAGCTTCACTGCCATAAATACATTAGGACCAGACCTGTGTCTATGCAAGAAATG